ATATATATATAAATGTGAATTTTGTGATTTTTTTTAATTTTTATTTTTTGAGCAAGTGCAAGGGAGTTATTACCGTATTTTCCACACTAAAAGGCACACTGGATTATGAGGCGCACCTTCAATGAATGGCCTATTTTGTAATTTTTTTCATATATTGGACGCACCGCATTATAAGACGCAATCTACAATGCATCCACTCGAAGGAGCTACGCTCAAGGAAATGCCAACAGAACAGAACACTACACTACACTATACCCTGATTCAGAAGGCGACGATCAGATGTCAGTAAAACTTATTTAATAAACAGCATCACAGTGCACTTAACCAACTGCAAGTTATAACATTGACTCGTTAACGTTGAACTCCGCCGCTGCTCTCTTTCTGTGTTCAACTGCGAAACCGATCGCCTTAAGTTTGAACTCTGCGTTGTAAGGATGTCTCTAGCAAGAAGCCATTTTGGGGTTGACATATTACCGTAATGACCATACACAAGGCGCAACGGATTTTAAGGCGTGCTGTGACATTTTAAGAAAATGGAAGGCATTTAGGTGCGCCTTTTAGTGCGGAAAATACGGTAAGCATTTTCTATTTCGTGGCGAAGGAAATTTGAAACACAAAATTAGATGCGCTGCTCCCATCATATTGTATTTGAAAACCTTAAGATTTGTTCCTTGGTTTACATCCCAGGTCGTGAGATGGTTACACCCCAAGTCTGAAGTCAATCGGCGAAAACCCTCTAAGACAAGCGTGCAAAAGTATGACAATTTTAACTCATTCAGTCCCAGCCATTTTCACTGGAGCAACCCCCTCAATCCCAGCGTTTTACTGGATTTTGACTGATCTTGCAAGGCCCACAGAATATTTGGTTCTAATGCTATATAAACATGGAGCCTACCAAAATAAAGTTTGGACTCTCTTCTTTCAGCAGAAAAAAAAAATTCTATCTTTTTCCATTCTTCAGCAATCGGCATTACAAAATGGCTAAGTTTCATGAAAATAGCGATCCCTGGGCAAAAAACGGGGAAAAAAGAGCTATTTGTAAAAGCATGCATTTCAAGCATGTGAGGCACCACTGCCACCTACTGGTCGCTTTTTTCATTATTTACAATGCAAACGGCTTATTCTCATTCACAGATTGCATCAGACCCTCCTCCTCTCTATGACGCAAAAAAAAAACAACTTAGACGTACAAATACGTCCATGGTAGGCGGGGCCTAATTTTAAAAAGACGTACAAGTGCGTCTTGTGGAATGAAAGAGTTAAATGTTGCAAACATGGGCCAAAACTGGGCTTTCAAGAAAAAAAATTATAGCTCACTTCCTATACATCTTAGCATATGACTGCAATGGAATTCTTTTGTACATCTCAAGTTGCGACACCTGCCTCTCTATTTTCGTAGCCCTCGACATGAGGTCGTTTTTCTTTAATCATCATTTCAAGCGCTTTCTCTGGCGTCACACCCCATGTAGCCTTGCTCCTATGTCAGATAACTTGTACTGTCGAAACTTGCATCGATTGTTCTCGGTCAAGCACAACCCCCTTGACCTTCATTTTTTTTTCCCATTAACCCCATTTGTGACTTCATCATCAGGTGTGGGTTTGATGTAGGTGTCAAAGTTGGATGCCATGAAATACGAAACTGATGAGAACTACTGTGTGAAAGAATGTTCCGCCCAGTGGACAGACAACTTACATCACGTTGTATTATTTGTCACTTCACCACCAAGTGGTGATAGGAAATTAAAGGTGTTTTGCGCTAATCTTCTTCTCATGTAGGAATTATTGGATCCATTCCATATTCAGATAAGATATATCAGAGATAAGGATGATCTTTGATTGCCAAAGAAGTTTATATTAAATTGGTTAAAATTCTCAGGAAAATAAAATGAATGGCATTTCACTGACTAGGCAGGTATAACAACTTCCTTTCTTTCACTGCAGATTCGGGGTGAGGGAATTATCAACAAAGACCTTCCAAGCTGCTGGGAATGTCCGAAATGCGTTCAAGGGATCACTGACTCGGAGGTACACCACTGACAAACACATGATTGAGTGTGTAATATGAAGTGAAGGATGCAAGTTATAAAGCATATGTAGTTCACTTTTGATGTACATTCCATTCTTATTTTATCCGTCGATTATCCATCCATTATCCTGCTCATCCTCACGAGGGCTATGGGCACGCTGGATCCTATCCCACCTGTCTTCGGGCAGTAGGCGGGGTATTCCCTGGTACACAATCACAGGGCACAAATAGACAAGCAACAACCATTCACACTGTCAAATCTTGCTTACCGCAGGGACTAAAATAGCTCCTGACCGGCTCTCCATTCAAGGGATTAAAACTTCGCGTTTCCCTATTCCATATTAACGTGAACTTAAAAGGGGATGAAAGTTGCTTAAGCTGGTATCGAGAAGGATACGTCTCAGTTCGGACAACCAAAGTTCTTGAGCGCAAGTCCAAGTTTACTTCAATTGACTCCGACATTGAACAACCATTATATTCAATGTAGTAAACAGTCCTCACCTGCACTGATGAACATCCAAGGTACGGACATAGAGAGGGTGACCTCCTACAAGTACCTAGGTGTTCTTCTCAACAATAAACTTGACTGGTCTACCAAGACGGACGCCTTGATCAGGAAGGGACAGAGCCGCCTCTTCCTACTCAGGAAACTGAGGTCTTTTGGGGTTCAGGGGTCACTCCTTAAGACCTTCTATGACTCTGTGGTGCTTCGGCCATCCATTATGGCATTGTCTGCTGGTCAGGCAGCATCTCGGCCCGGGACAGAAAGAGACTGGAGCGACTGTTCAGGAGGGCCAGTTCTGTCCTGGGCTGCTCCCTGGACACTCTGGAGGAGGTGGGCAACAGGAGGATGCTAGCTAAACTAAAAGCTATGATGGACAGTCCCTCCCACCCCCTCCAGCAGCCCTGACAGCACTAGGTAGCTCCTTCAGCCAGAGACTGTGACACCCAAGCTGCAAGAAGGAGAGATACCGCCACTCGTTCCTACCGACCACTGTCAGACTGCTGAATAAACATACGTGAAAACCTGTTACCATTGTAAAAAGCACAGCCACCTTATGCTGCATAAAAGCAGTTGCATATATGCTGATATCTATATCTTTATATTGCATACAGTTCTTTTTCTGAAAAATTTACTTGTGCATGCAACACTTTGTTTTTTTTCTTTCCTACCCCCCCCCGCCGCTGGAGACTGCAGCGGGGGGGGTTCTCACAAATTTTATTGTTGTCCTTTCAAGTTATATTTAAATAATGAATTCTACTTTCCTCAAAAAAAAGTGACCAAAAACAGTTAAGAGGCAAGACAGCAAATTTAGAAAAAATTGAGTCACAACAAATAGTAAACCAGTAAATAGTAAAATAAATGACAACAAAAGAATCATCATCCATGCATCCATCCATTCATTTTCTGATCCGCTTATCCTGGCAAGGTTCGCGGGGCGTGCTAGAGCCTTTCCCAGCTGTATTTGGGCAGTAGGTGGCGGGGCACCCTGAACTGTTTGCTAGCCAATGGCAGGGCACACATACAGTACACATACAAGCAGTTACCTGAGTGAGACCCCTTTAGTGTGAACTACCTTGCCTCTCTTAGTCACCATCTCATTGCATTTCTCAAGCCCGAATGACATCCCGATGTCACTGCTGTAGATCCTCGCTGTGTGGATCAGGGAATCTATGTCCCTTTCGCTCTTAGCATACAGCTTTATGTCATTCATGTAGAGGAGTTGACTGATCGTAGCTCCATTTCTGAGGCGATATCCATAGCCAGTCTTGGCGATTACTTGGCTTTAGGGGGTTCAGTCCTATGCAGAAGAGCAGTGGGGAGAGTGCATCACCTTGGTGTATGCCACATTTGATGGACACTTGGGTAAGTGGCTTGCCATTGGCTTCAAGTAAGGTTTTCCACATCCTCATCGAGTTCACAACGAAGGCTCTTGGTCCTATTCACCTTATGCAACTCCAAGCATTCAGTGATCCATGTATGTGGCATCGAGTCATTGGCTTTCCTGTAATCAATCCCAGCTGTGTACAGGTTGGTATGTCAGGATCCGAATCATCTTCATTCGCCAAGTATGTAGAACACACAAGGAATTTGTCTCTGGTATAACATTAATATCATCATAAACAAGGACATGACAAATAAGTATGGAAAAATAAGTATGGAAGGACATTTCGTAATGTAAGTGAACCGTTGTGCAGTGGTACCACCCAGTGACAACTGTGAGACAATGTGCAAAGTATCAAGCAGAGCTAAAGTGATCAGTTATTGGCTGATAGTTGGATGGGACTGCACCCTATGAGGGATCCGTTATGATGAGGATCGTTCGCCCTTCGGTTAGCCATCCTGAGTGAGTCCCATCCCTCAGCAACTGGTTCATTTGTGCTGCTAGGCGCACATGGAGTGCTGTGAGTTTCTTTAGCCAGTAGGTGTGGACCGTTTCTTGGGCCTGGTGCTGTCCAGTTTTTCATATCTGAGACTCTTTCCTGTATGTCTGCCACTGTTATGGTAACTGGGTTCTGTTCAGGGAAGTTGCTGTGCTCCTCTCTCAGAGTCACCAGCCATTGTGCACTGCTCTTATGTGCGACCTCCTTCTCCCATATGCCTTTCCAGTACCTTTCAGTTTGCAGTCTTGGTGGGTCTGCTCTGCTGTGAGAACCCTGCCACTGACAGTACACTTTCGCAGGTTGTGTTGCGAACAGCCTGTTTATTCGTGTGGCACCATTCTCTTTTGTGTACCACTTTAGGCGACTGGACAAGGCTTGGAGCCTTTGTTTGGCAGTTTTGAGTGCTTCAGGTATGGTCATCTGGACATACCTGTCGGGTATCGGGCTTTTCATCACACCTCTCTGGGTCTCCGTCAGTTGACTCACATCTTTCCGAGCCACCTTGATCTTAGCCTCCAACCGTCTTTTCCATGGTGGGTAACGTTTCTCATGGCTCCAATGGTTACTTGTATAGCCAAGCATCTCTAGGATCACTGATGCTATAGCGTATATCAGCTCACTGGTTTCCGTGATCGTTACGGTCAGGATCGCCCTCAGTGCTGCATTCACAGTTTCCATGAGACTTTCAGGTGGTACTTCACATTGCTGTTGTCATCGGTTTCTAGGTTGCCCAGCCTTCATTCTCCCCATGATCTTAGCTTTCAGATCAGTTGCTGCCTTGCTCAGCATTTCATTCATTGGGGCTGGCCTCCCAATTTCAGCATCTGCATTTATTGGGGCTTGTCTCCCAATCTCTGGTATGACCTCCTCCTCTGATCTGGCAGCCTGGGGCCCTTCACCATGGAATCTGTGTTGTACCTCATCAATCTCAAGTTGTGATAGCAATTGCCGTTTGTGGATGTTGGAACACTGAGCTCCTAGTTGTTTCATGGCCAACCGTGACTGTGAGTTACGAAGTAACCATTCAGCCCACATTCTCTGCATGTAACCCCTCTGACTAGGGTTGCTTGAGTAGTGGCATTCTAACAGAGCCATGTTATCGCATCTCGCCCATCTCCGCTTCATTCCAGGAGCCCATTTTTAATCAAGGTGCTCTGGTTCCCCAGCACCTGACGCAGACCTTGTTTGGCCGTGTGACGTCTGAGCCAGCATGTCATTCTTTTTATTGTCTGTCATCATTGTATGAGATTAGCGTGAAGGGTCTCGCCTAAGGACCCACACTGGATGATGATATGTGCTCATATTGCCCCAAGTGGGGATCGAACCCCAATCTCACGTACGCCAAACCGGTGCCTTACCAACTGAGCTTATATACTGTATGTATGTGTGTGTGTGTGTGTATGTGTGTGTGTGTGTGTGTATATATATATATATATATATATATAGAGAGAGAGAGAGAGAGAGAGAGAGAGAGAGAGAGAGAGAGAGAGAGAGAGAGAGAGAGAGACACACATTTAATTCAACTCAATGCTCATGCTTGCACAGATATCTGTAAGTCGTTTTTACTCAGACACAAGTGATTCCCAATCTGTGAAAAACAGGTTAGATTTTTTAGTTCAGTCGCAACTTTCTTCTTCTCATAAATATGTACTCCCTGCAGGCATGGCACCACACTGCCCCTAAGGGGCCAATATTTGCACTGCAGGAACAGCCACTTTTTTTTCTCACAAATTTTGTTGTTGTCCTTTCAAGTTATATTTAAATTTGATTTTTTTAGGATTTTAATGAATTCTACTTTCCTCAAAATTCAAGGATACAAAGACCCAAGGACTCTCTTAAGAGCACAAATTTCTACATGGTATCGCACAAAATACGATACCAAGGTCCCAGTAAGTCCCAAGACCTGTGCAAATTGATAACAATAACAAGATAAATATGACAGAGATATGGGAAATACTGACTCATGGCTTGATTGTGTGCAAATATGTAAGACATCAAAGGTGTGGATGTAGCCGAATGAACATGCAAGAGGCTTGAATTCTACATGATATTTACAAGTTGTACTTTGTACTTTATAATTCAACACCGATTAAACTAATAATAATAATAATAATAATAAGCAACAAGACACTTAACAATAAAAGGAAAATGTAGCTTGTTTTACAACAAAACCAAAATGAACTGTTTTACTCTTAACTTCTTCACGAGATTTTGTGTATGTGGTTTGAGAATGAGTGAGTCGTCAACAAAGACATCCAAGTATTTATAAGTACAGTCAAACCTCGGTTTTCGAACGTCTCTGTTCTTGACCAAATCGGTTTTCGACCAAAAATTTCAAGTTATTTATGCCTCGGATTACGACCGAAATTCGGTTCTCGACCAAACTGAGCGCACTTGAATGCGCCACTCGACTTCTCTCGACTTCCTGACACGAGGAAGTGACGCTTCCTCGGGTTGACGAAGAAGTGACGCCTCCGTTGTGAGCAGACATGTTCAATAAAGATTAAAAAAAAAAAGAAAGAGCATCCATTGTGAGCAGACGTGTTCAATAAAGATTTTTAAAAAAGCAGACGTGTTTGTTGAGATCGACGCAAATTGGACTGTTATTTCTGCATGGCACCAAAGAAAGCAAGTGGAAGTCGTAAAGCTGCTGAAAAAAGAGGAAAATAGTGCGCAAAACTATTGAATTTAAGAAAGATTTGATAGTAAAATATGAATCAGGTGTACACGTGTCTGTGTTGGCTCAGGAGTTCGGCATGCCGAAATCAGCAACATCCTAAAAAAGAAAGACCATCATAAAGTCAGTGATGTGGCGAAAGGATCTCGTGTGTTTAGTGAACAAAGTCCACAAATATTAGAGGAACTGGAGAAACATTTGCTTATTTTTGCAATATACAAACAAACAAATAATAATAATAATAATATAAATAATAATAATACATTTCATTTATAAGCGCCTTTCAAAACACTCAAGGACACTTTACAATCAAAACAAGAACAATAAAACCACAGATAAAATGATAAATAATAAAAGGAGAGATGAATTTAGACTGAATATGCGATTTTAAATAGCGACCAACTTCTCACGAACGACCCGATCGCGCACGTGCAAGCATACACACACACACGCACGCACGCACGCGCGCGCACACATGCACTCACGCGGGTGCCCACCAGTGCATTCGCGCACATATGCACGCACAACATGATGAGCAACAGTCGGAACAGGCTGAAAATGAATGAAAGCTCAAGATACAAACCTTTTTTCCCCACGCATTTCCTCTTCGCACCCCTTGTGGTCGACTTGGGACCAGTTCGCTGGCTCCCGGTCGATTCTGATCGACGTATTGGGCAGGCACCCCTGCCTTAAAATCAGAGGTAATTTGCTGACTACCTTAGCACTTAGCGCCGTTGTTTGCGCATGAGCGGTGATGCAGTCATCTGTTTGGTTGCCCTCTATGTCAATCAAGTAACGGGATTGATGATAGGCTGACTAGCTTAGCGTTTAGCGCCGTTGTTTGTGCGTGAGCGGTGATGCAGTCATCTGATTGGTTGCTATCTATGTCAATCAAGTAACGGGATTGATGATAGGCTGACGGAGTACTTTCTGTGAAGTTGGCGCCTTGTTTGAATGGCATCGCCGCTGCCGAGGCGTTTTCGACGCTTGGCGTGTGAGAGCCCGGGAGCCGCATTGAACCAGCCAAAGAGCCGCTCGCGAGCCGCGGGTTGGCCCCCCCTGAAGTAGAAAGTCATTTATTTTCCTTGCTGTAGTTTTCTCATCATATGGGTATGTTTTGAGACTGCTACTTTCTCCATCCACATCTGTAAAGCATTTATGTCCTTATTCTTGCTTTATTTTCTACATTATTTATGCAAGTCCATTGTTGATTCTTTATTTGATTGGAGACACTACAATTCTAAATTTTCATTACAATTGGCTTCTAAAGAGTACATTCTTTTATAAGTGGTAATCTGGCACAGAACTGCCAATGCCCACAGTGAAACATATTGGAGGCAATATGTTATCGTCACCCCTTCGGCTAAAATTGTGGCCTGAGTTAATTTGAATTATTATGAACAGATCCATTTACACGTAGTGTGGTTTATTTTTTTTTTTTTTTTTTTTTTAATTCAAGCCTATGCTAGACTTGTGTTGATGAGGAATTTCATCTTTTGGCTTGACAAAAACCAAGTATCCATCTCAAAAATATATTTAAAAATAAATACCTAAATGTTGCAGTACAAGTATTCTTTTAAGGATGTCAATATGAAACCAGGTTGTTATTAAATGTTCGTTCGATTGTTTTTTGGTCATAAAATCAAAGGTGGAACATTTCTGAAAGTAGTCATCTTGGCATACTTTATTAATATCACAAAAGCAGAACATTTGGAAACATCTTTGGTGGTATATCTCTTTTGCCATCTGTAATTTTGTGCTTCACCTGTTTTAAGTCATTGTATCATTCATTTTTCCTTCTTTTCATGCATTCCCAGCAGCGGAAATGTTCTTCTCTGCTGGATGCCCGCATGGCTAAGATATTCCGACAGCAGAGACACTGTCGTGATGGAAATGACTCCAGTGATGATGACGAGGATGAAGGTTTGTGCTCTTCTCATCTACCATCACCAAGTGAATTCTGGATGCTTCAGTAGATGTATCACCTTAGGTTGTCAACCACATTTAGGCAGGGAAAGAAATTAACCCTTTCAGGGACAGCGGTTACTACAGTGAACAGATTATGATGTTATCAGGTTACAAGGTGCGTTGTTAGGAAGCCTATTTCTTTGTTGTTAGTGTTTTTAGCATTAGCATGCATCTTACAAGCGACAAAAATATATTTTATAACACATGAAAGTACCAATAATAAAATTGAAGTGTTACCTAAATTAGGTCCCGAAATTGTCAGGTGATGCCACTTAAATATGTGACACCAAATCACTGACTGTAATGTCATGTAAATTTTTTTCTTTTGGGGAATTAATTGAATACACACGTCCTTGGGGTTGATTTTCAATTATTATTATTATTATTATTATTATTATTTATTTTGACTTACTGCACGGGCATTAGCCAGAAGAAGAGAAGGTCGAACAGTTGTCTGGGAGTTGTAGTCCTCTTAATGTGTTTCGCACAGAAAGGACATCACGAAGCAGCTGCCATTAAGACACTTGCAGATCTCTTCTGCAAATGCTTGAGAATCGAAATGAAAAAATAGAAGGTACCAACAAGCGGTTTTATGTGACGGTACATAGGTGTATTCCTAAATGTACGCCTTAAAGCTTGCAGGCATTGTTTAAAAGGCTTTAAGCCTTGTGTGACAAAACGGCAGGAAACATTTCTGCTGTCTTTCGCTCCTCTAATGGAATTTAGAGGCTTGAATGGTAGTTACAAAAAGAAAACATCAGTGCAAACCATTGTGAATATCCATTCATTCATTACAATTTCCAGAAAGAAAAAGATCCATACGGATGAAAAACATGGACTAAAATTGTACATTTCTTCCACACATTTATTTACATTCATATTTATTTTGTATTTTGAAACCAATAGGGAACACACAGAGGAGAAACACAGTACGCAACGACTGCGAAGATAATGACACGACATGCGATCAGCACGACAAATAAATGTTCTCATCATTGTCACTTTTAAATCGAGAAACAATTCTACATTTCAATATTATTGTGGCATGTCACATTGGCGATCGATTTGCTGAGCGTTGCGCTGCTTCAGACACTTCACATCACATCACTCACAACGGAGTAATTCCGTGCATTCGAGAACGAGCAGAGGTTGAAGCATGTTTCAGTTCCCGTTTTAGCTTCACCAGCTGACCGCTGCGTTTGCCTCAGCGGCACTGCCATGAAGGGCACATGTGAATGTGGAAGTGATCAGCCTGTATGTCTGCCAGAAACAGGCAAACGTCTTCTCACCACCACCCTGCTGAAACAGCCAAACCTCCGACGTACTGTTCAAAATCCAATGATTAGTGATCGTAAACCAGTAGAGACTCAATTAGGATGGCACCACTGCGAATAAAAAATAAAGCTGAAGCAGCAGGAGCATTGCCACACACATTGGCGCACTTTCCGCCATCTTCAAAGCCCTGTGAAACGTCTGGGAATTTGCTTTGTTCCATAACAAGTGAGACTGAGAAAGTTTCTGAGAGGATGTGTAATTAGCTACGTTCTGCATTGTTTGAAAAAAAAAGCTCTTACCGGTGTTTAAGAAAATTATTATTTTTATTTTAATTCATGTGTGCCTCTTTCTTTGCAAATACCCCATATGGAGGCCCGCGTCTAATAAAGTAAAGCGGCCAACATATGTACGTATTTGTTTGATGCCTAAATTTGGCTGTTGCGGCTTTTGATCAAGTGCACTTTGTAGCCCGGAAATTATGGCAATTCCCTCACATCATGGAGCATACACCCCAAAAAATTTATATATATATATATATATATATATATATATTAAATTTGGGGGGTGATAACCGATCCTGCATTATTCAGGGAAACAACCATGAATTTGCATTTTTTTTGTTTGTTTTTTATCCTCACTTGTTCCATCCATCCATCCATCCATCCATTTTCGGATCCACTTATCCTCACAAGGGTCGCGGGCGTGCTGGGGCCTATCCCAGCTATCTATATCTATATATATCTATATATATAGATAGATATAGATATATATAGATGGATATAGATATATAAACATATGTATATATGACAGTAATAGGAATAAATTATATAAGTATTTGAAAATAGAGACTTAATTTCCAATCACCCTGTTTTCGGGTTAAATTAAAAGAGAGCTGATATCCAGGAAATAAAACTCTGCCTTGACTGTTTTCACTCTCACTGTTTAAAATGGTATCATCTGTTTGTCTTAAAACTCAAAATTTCCAAGGCACACTGATACCGAGTCACGGATGATAAAATGTAGCGAGCACACAACTAATTAATTTGCCCATTCCAGTGAGATTTGTTTTGTTAAAATATACAATTGCTAATGCTCTAATTGCATTCTATAATTCGTGTAAATACAGGTATTTATCACCTGATTTGCATATGTTTTGCAAAACTCAGATTGGAGTTGTTTGATGATGTTATATTGTTTTCACTTTTCCAAATTCAAAAGAAAAGAAAGAAACCATCTCATCCTATTTGTGTCTGCAGCCACACACAGAAAAAAGTCAAGGATACAGCCAGGAGGATGCCACTCTTCCCGGAGAGGATTGCGTACCAACAGGAGAGGATTGTTCAAAGGAGGATCAACCCACAGAGGAAGCAGGGAAGGCCCTGTGACTCCTGGTACTTCCATCTTCAAGTTCAAGGCTGGTAGGAGGAGAGGGATGAGATTAAGGGGTGGTTCAAGGATGCAGCAAAGAGGTGCTTCTACTGAGGAATCTGATGATGGTGATGAAGAGGAAGATGATGACAGCGGACATGGAGACCAAGATCAGCATCCTCATCAGTGTAGGAGAAGGTCCAGGACTGATGAAGAGGAAGATGAGGACAGTGAAAAACATGAGTTTGACCCAGATGATGAGGGCATGGACCTAGAAGAAGAAGAAGAGCTAGAAGGACCCTGGGATTCTGACCCAGAACCTCCAGTGCTCCTGATGTCTGATCTCAATGATGACATACTTTGTGGCTCCTACCTGACTGTGACTCTACAACGCCCGATCATTACTGATAAAAAATCTGGTAGGTACAAAAGCCGCAGTACAAAAAGTATGTTCCTCCTAACAAATGGAGCAAGTACTTTCTACCAGTACATCATGCATACAGGTACATGTCAGAAAATTACAATGTAATTGTCAGGTCCAACAGGTAATCAGCCAATCATGAGAGACTAGGAGTCAAACAGAGTTGTCTTTTCTTGCGAGGAGAGTGCGCTTAGAGTAACAGTCTGTGTGCAGTTTCAGTATCGGGGCAGCTCTGAAAACACTGTGCTCGTCTCCTATCTTTTTATTGTCTTAGAGAGTGTCCTGTTACATGGACTACTAAAGGGGTAACTAACATACACAATATATTCCCAAGTAAAATTGGAGGAGCAGCTGTGGGCGCGTCATGGGCACGCTGTTCTGAGGCTGGTGTCATCAGTTTTTTCTTTCTCAGAGGCTGTTATTTTCACTTCAAGGCTGCGACCAGAAACAAGCATGATAAACTACTTTGATTTTCATACTGTACTTTTCCCATTGCTATGGACTTAAGTGAAATCCTTGCAGGGTTGCACTAGTAAGTTGATTCTATATCTAAAAGCAGAGAGTGATAAATTATATGCAATTATTCTTACAACAATGGAACACATGATTTACTGTAGTTCAAGAATCTGATTTAAAAAAGGGCAACTCATGTCACTATCCTGTGAAAACTAGATATGTCCATTTTTGTTTTTTTTTACATTTTTACATTAATGGCATGTCTGCAATTAGCTTCAAAGTAACAAGTTATGTACCCACCTACATGAGCAACATGAAAACATGTTCTATGATGTCATCAGAATCAGATTTATTGGCCAAGTATGCAAGAAACGCACACAGAATTTACTTCCCAGTTACAACCCATTCATAGGAACAGAAACAAGATCCAATACCCAACATGGGGGAGACAGAACAAGAAGCCTGGCGAGTCGCGGTTAAGCTCTCCGACATGTGAGATGTGAAAGGTAAACAGTTGGTAAGAGGAGGTTAAAAAAAACGATAGACTCCAACCATTCTCCTTAAATAGGAGGATGGTTTGAGCCAGAGGGGGAAAAAAAACTCAGCACATATAGCATACATTTAAAAACACAGTACAACAATTCTCAAGACTTAACCTGTATTGAACAGGGTGGTAGGAGTGTCACAATCTGTGAAACAAGCTGCACACAGTAGGTGCACTCAAGTCTCTCCAGTTGTGACGGGGGAGTGAGCTGAGTGAATAGGAATCCAGCAAAAACTTTGACATTGCAGCTGCAAGGCCAAGACCTGATCAGTCACAGGCTCGGGGAGGACATATGGAGAGGAGGAGAGAGGGATACTCGCGTCCATGTGTTTTTTCCATCCAAGGGAAAGTCCAGATAACAGTTGTTGTGAGAACAGGCCGTCTACAATTTCAGACAGCCTTGAATTACTTCGCATGTGACTCTCCGTGGTGTCAATCAGTCAAATTCTTGATCAGTCAATCGATTTTCCATGATGGTACAACTTCTCCCAGTCTTTTCCGTTTTGCGAAGCAACTCCCACACCACATCCACTTTGCGGTTTAGTTCGGTCAACGCATGAGTCTGAATGTTGTTCCCACGCCCCACACCCTCTTAGGAAGGCCGTAACCTTATTTCCTTCCAATGAAGCTGCTCCCGCTGGCTGAATTTTGCAATAGATCACCAAACAGCAGGTTACCTGTTATACATCCATCTATCCATCATCCATCCATTTTCTACCGCTTATCCAGGGTAGGGTCGCGGGGGCAGCAGCTTTAGCAGGGAAGCCCAGACTTCCCTCTCCCCAGCCACTTCTTCTAGCTCTTCCCGGTGGATCCCGAGGCGTTCCCAGGCCAGCTGGCTGACATAGTCTCTCCAGCGTGTCCTGAGTCGTTCCCGGGTCCTCTTGCCGGTGGGACATTCCCGGAACACCTCACCAGGGAGGCGTTCAGGAGGCATCCTAATCAGATGCCCGAGCCACCTCATCTGGCTCCTCTCGATATAAAGGAGAAACGGCTCGACTCTTAGCCCCTCCCGGATGACTGAGCTTCTCACCTTATATCTAAGGGAGAGCCTGGACACCCTGCGGAGAAAACTCATTTCATCTGCTTGTATCCAGGATCTCCTTCTTTCGGTCACGACCCACAGCTCGTGACCATAGATGAGGGTTGGAACATAGATCGACCGGTAAATTGAAAGCTTCGCCCTTTGGCTCAGCTCCTTCTTTACCACAACAGACCGATAAAAGTCCGCATCACAGCACACGCTGCACCGATCCGCCTGTCGATCTCTCACTCCCTCCTGCCCTCACTCGTGCACAAGACCCCAAGATACTTAAACTCCTCCACTTGGGGCAAGATCTCCTCCCCGACCCGGAGAGGGCACTCCACCCTTATCCGACTAAGGACCATTGTTTCAGATTTGGAGGTGCTAATTTTCATCCCAACTGCTTTACACTCAGCTGCGAAATGCTCCAGTGAGAGTTGGAGAGCCCTGCTTGAAGGAGCCAACAGTACCACATCATCTGCAAAAAGCAGAGATGCAATACTAAGGCCACCAAAAAGGACCCCCTCAACACTTCGGCATAATTATGAACAGAATCGATGACAAAGGGCAGCCTTGGCAGAGTCCGACCCTCACTAGAAACGATTCCAACTTACTGCCGGCAATGCGAACCAAACTCTGTCATCGGTGGTATAGGGACCGAACAGACCGTATCAGGGGGTTCAGTACCCCATACCCACGAAGCACCCCCCACAGAACTCCCCGAGAGACACGGTCAAACGCCTTCTCAAAGTCCACAAAGCACATGTAGACTGGTTGGGCGAGTTCCCACATACCCTCCAGGACCCTGCTAAGGGTGGAGCGCTGGTCCACTGTTCCACGGCCGGGACGAAAACCACACTGCTCAGTCTGAGGCTCAACTGACGGACCCTCCTCTCCAGCACCCCTGAATAGACCTTACCAGGGAGGCTGAGGAGTGTGATCCCTCTGTAGTCGGAACACACCTCTGGTCCCCCTTTGTAAGCCATGTGTTACAATTTCTACAATTTTTGTAGATTTTTGCGTATTGTCATCTTTAAATCAAAGACAAAGCATAAAAATTGTGTGATATGAAATATTCCAATTCATGTTTTATTTATATAGATTTATATTTATGTTTTGGTCATAGCACAATACCGCTTTTATTGTCCATAGAGGGCAAAAATACAAAGAAAAAAATAAGAACTATATGTGTATGTATAGCACTGATGCCACTGAACATGTCGAGTGGTTGAAAGTAAAATAAATATTCAGGAATAATACTTTTACAATTTTTGTAAAATTGTATGTTGCGTTATATAAACTTATTTACATCGACTGCAGCACATGGGTTTTAAAAAGAGGGAACAGCACCCCAGTCTGCCACTCCAGAGGCACACTCCCCAATGACCACGCGATGTTGCAGAGGCGTGTCAGCCAGGACAGCCCCACAACATCCAGAGCCTTGAGGAACTCCGGGCGGATCTCATCCACCCCTGGCGCCTTGCCACCGAGGAGCTTTTTAACCACATCGGTGACTTTAACCACAGAGATAGGAGAGCCCACCTCAGAGTCCTCAGACTGTTTCCTCCAAGGAAGGCGTGTTGGTGGAGTTGAGGAGATCTTCAAAGTACTCTGCCCACTGACTTACAACGTCTCGAGTCGAGGTCAGCAGCGCCCTATCCCCATTGTACACAGTGTTAGTGGTGCATTGCTTCCCCCTCCTCAGACGTCGGATGGTGGACCAGAATTTCCTCAAATCTGTCCAGAAGTCTGCTTCCATGGCCTCACCGAACTCTTCCCACGCCCGAGTTTTTTCCTCGGCGACCACTGAAGCTGAAGGTGTTTTGCTTAGCCAGTCGAAGCCCATCAGCTGCCTCTGGGTCCCACAGGCCATAAAGGCCCAATAGGACTCCTTCAGCTTGATGGCATACCTTACTGCTGGTGTCCACCAGCGAGTACGGGGGTTGCCGCCATGACAGGCACCAACCACCTTACGACCACAACTCAGATTGGCCGCCTCAACAATAGAGGCACGGCACATGGACCACTCGGACTCAATGTCCCCCGCCTCCCCCCGGATATGGGAAAAGCTCTGCCGGAGGTGGGAGTTGAAACTCCTTCTGACAGGGGATTCCGCCAGCCGCTCCCAACAAACTGTTACAATACATTTGGGTCTGCCAGGTCGGACCGGCATCTTCCCCCACCATCGGAGCCTATTCACGACCAGGTGGTGATCAGTTGACAGCTCCGCCCCTCTCTTCACCCGAGTATCCAAAACATGCGGCCGCAAATCCGATGATACAACCACAAAGTCAATCATCGAACTGCGGCCAATGTTTCCTGGTCCCAAGTGCACATATGGACACTCTTATGTTTGAACAAGGTGTTCGTTATGGACAATCAGTGACGAGCACAGAAGTCCAATAACAAAACACCACTCAAGTTCTGATTGGGGGGGGGGGGGCGTTCCTTCCAATCACGCCCTTCCAGGTCTCACTGTCATTGCCCACGTGAGCATTGAAGTCCCCCAGCAGAACAAGGGTCTCCAGCAAACCCTCCAAGGACTCCAAAAAGGGTGGGTACGCTGAGCTGCTGTTGGGTGCGTACGCACAAACAACAGTGAGGACCCGTCCCCCGACCCGAAGGCGGAGGGAGGCAACCCTCTCGTCTACCGGTATCCCCAATGTACAGGCACTGAGCCGGGGGGCAATGCGTATGCCCCCCGGTATACTATGGTGGTGGTGAAGAAAGCCCAGCAGCAAATGGAGGAGAAGCTGCAGGTAAACTTCTACCAAGCCACCATTGAGAGCATCCTAGTTTACTACACTATAGTGTGACACACTGCAGCCAACAGGACAGCGCTACACAGAGTGATCAACACCACCCCAAAGATCACTGGATGCTGTTTCCATCCCCGTATAACATTGTCAGCACTCACTATCTCAGCAGAGCGTTGGACATTGTCATGGACTCATCTCACCCCCGTCATCTGTTCAAACTGTTTCCCTCTGGTCGGCGTTGCAAGGCTCACAAAACCTGGTGTAACAGACTCTGCGACAGCTTTTCTCCCTGAGTTATTAATGCTCTGAAACACAACACAACATGAACACACAGTTACTGCATTCCTGCAGCCATCCACTTGTGTGACTGAATTCCTTTGAAACTTGAATCTACAGTATGTACCTCATTCTGCAATATGCACTGACACTTGAATTCTATGTGCAATTACTTGTAATGAAAATCACCTCATGCAATTCTAAGCAGTTAACACACTTTCTTTTACGCTAAAATTTTTACCCACCTCTATTGTGCAATATGCAAAGCCACTTGTTTGTGCAAGTTACGATACCTTTGTACTAGTCAATTTTCTTCTTCAAAAATTTGCAATACGTCTTACATTTATTTTTTTAATTCATTAATTTTATTTCATTGTTTAGATTGTATTTTTCCGATGCACTTAAGTGAACAGTGCTCCCAATTTGTTTGTGTGTGTGTGTGTGTGTGTGTGTGTGCAATGGCCACAGTAAATGCTTTGATCGCTTTACCAACACTTGGATAACTGGAAGAATTACTAAGGTTATACATTATTTACCGTAACTTTGTCATGACCACAGACAACGAATTTATTTTAAGTTTGATGTTGTCATCGCCACAAGTTAGCCTAGCGTCCATTTAGTAAGTTAGCACACCATCATGCCCCAAACTCAAAAATGATGCATTCATCGAGTCCATTTACCCAAACCTTAAGTGGCACTGCCGATCATGTCTCTGAAATACAGCTTTCTTTTTATTGGAAGTTGAAGGCTCTTATTCTTCTACTTTGCTCAGCCGCGATTATTCGCAGCGGGCGGCTATATCATCAAACACAAACTAAATTTCCCGATGCGAAACAAAAATAATGTGTTTGGAGAAGCCACCTCTTCTTTGACTCTATCATAATTAAACTTCATTTACTTTTCATGTCTAAATAAAAGATCTTTATTTTTTTTTCTTCACAGGTTGTATCGTTCCAAAAATGGAAGCTGCCATGGGTTTGAGGTCACCTCCACTAAATGCATGTGGTCAACCAAGCATCAACCGGAAGACCACTTTTAACAAAGCTTTAAGGTTCAAGAGCAACGACAACACACGGGAAGGGCAAATTCTACAAGGACCAGGAAGGTTGGTGTTTTGCGAATAAACATTCACCAAGGTGCCAAAATATTTCACACTAACATATACGAAACTTCAACTTATTTGGCTTGTGGAGAGAATGTTGCATTTAGCTCTTGAGGTGGTCAACCAGCATTGTAAAATAATTAAAAAAAAAAAAAAAAAAGATGAATCGGAAAATCGGTTTTGATTTAGAAAATTCAAATATATTGAATCTAATATATGTATGTATGGATGTATATTTACTTATGTATGTATGTACTGTATATATACAGTGTATGTATATATATATATGTATACATGTGCGTGCGTGCGTGCGTATGTGTGTATAAACAGTAATCCCTCATTTATCGTGGTTAATGGGGACCAAAACCACCCGCGATAAACGAAAATCCGCGAAGTAGCGTCCAATTAACATACAGGTAAAAAAAAATATTTTTTTTAAGTCCGCAAACGGTTCGCGAGAAGCTGCAAAACAACAGCGAGTCACATAGAGCAACATATACAGTACTGTACTCCATATATATTAAAAAATATATATATATATATGTATATTTTTTTATGTTTGAAAAAATCCGCGATGCACTGAACCCGCGATAAACGAACTTTACGCGAGTCAGCTGCCTCATATAAAAGAAGCTGGCTTTAACAACATCACCAATTTGACGGCCCAATTTAAAATCACTGTCCAGTTTAAGACCCAAGTTCAAGACTGTTGGCTTTAGATAAGAGGCCAGGGGGCCCATGTGCGCAAAGATCTGATGTACAAGGGCCACTGGGACTCAGCACCCTCATCTCTGTTTTCTTTTCATTGAAATTCAGTGCCATCCAGGTCTTGATTTCCTCTAGACAGGATAAAAGTGGCCTCAATGAGAAAGCCTCCTTTTTGCTCAGCGGTACATAGATCGACAGTCATCCGCATAGCAAATATGATTCCTGAAGATGGAACCCAAAGGGAGCAGATACAATGAAAACAGAGGCCCCAGAATTGAACCCTGTGGAACACCACATGAAAGTGTGGGAGTTCGTGATTCAGAGCAACCATTGCTAACAAAAACTTTTCTGTCAGCCAAATGGAACCTAAACTAATCAAGGGCATGACCACTAATGCCCACCAGGTGCTGCAAATGAGCCAAAGGGTTGTATTGAGTGGCAGGAAGTGGTTAATGTTAAGAATGAGGAAACGGATAAAAGCCTGAGGTGCATACAGCAAGAACTTCAATTTCTTCTCATTCTCAAATTCCTGTTTAGGAATGCAAAGAATTGGCAAAGTTGATGATCTTGACAACGATCCATAATGGTAACAAAATCTTGGCAGAGTTCCAGGCCAACAGATTGAAAGATGATCGTAAATGGCTTTGGGGCGTGGCACATCCTGAACTGGAGAAGGCACTTTTCATGTGTTGACTGAATGGTTTCAGAGAGGAAATAGGAAGGCTACAGTTGTTTGTTTCATGTCTAGTAATTTTTTTTTTCTTTATACTGTAGACACGTATTGGTAATTGACATATTTATACTGTATTATATGTTCATGATTTTACATCTGTAATGTTTATACTGCATCATACATCTTAGATCTTAGTTGGCGGACATTTTATTGGAAATGGTGACAACGAACTACTGTTATAACGTACAGATTCGCTCTGTCCTTCGGGGTACGTTGTAACGAGGTTCGACTGTCTCTCTGTGCATGGATTAATTAGTCTTTACCTCTTCTATTTTGAAACATAGTAAAGAAAGCAAGTCTTCTCAATTATTTTAATCAGATCTCAAATGTCAAACTTAACAATCAGCACTCCAGTAACATTGCTGATAGATTGGATTGGATATGCTATTGGAGATGCTATTTTTATGGACCGGTATCTATAAGCTTCTTATCTTTTAAATATTTATTGTCTTCCTATAATATACTCCTCCTCCTCAGCTGACTTATGTGGTGACATTTGGACTTCATATCAGGTCATTGTGTAACTTTCTTGACGCAAATTTTTTTCTCAGTTTGCTAACAAGCATGTTCGCCTGCATTAACCTATTGTGAGCGCTTTACTTGATAAAGACATGAATATGTTGGTATAAGTGTATGTGATCAAACTGGTCAAATGTTATCTTGCAGGCCAAGTCATCGTGGCAACTGTGTCATCCGGAGCGCTATCGATCAGTCTGTGTCCTCAGACGAAGGGGAACCATCCACCTCTTCTGTCTCTCCTGCAATGTCACCTCCTTCCCTGCTGTCCCTGTCATCTTTTCAGGATGTGGATGAGAGTGGAGGAGAAAAGGAAGTGTGGGTGTCTGTTTTCAGATACCTTAACAGAGCTGAGTTGCTCAAGTGCATGACTGTCTGCAAGGCCTGGTATAAGTGGTATGTCATAATCAATGTGTTACTCTGAAGTTTTATCCGAGTTGAAGAACCAAAATGCCAAGTTCTAAAAGGGCATGTTCATTTGGTTGCAGGAGTTTTGATAAGCATCTATGGAGCCATCTGGATGTGAGTCGATTCAACCCCCTGAGCAACCAGGCCTTGGCAGGTATCATAAAACACCAGCCCACTTCTTTGGACCTCTCATGGACGCCCCTGGCCAAAAGACAGCTCAACTGTCTTCTAACCAGGCTACCAGGTAAAGATACTGTATGTCGTATATTTTGTATTTCCTTGGGTTGTCTCTGTGTGATATTAAAATTGGTTTGATGAACTGAAATTCTTGTGTGTGATAAATATGCAAAGAACACAGTAACCAGGAAGGGGGGAAATATTTTTTTCACAGCACTGTATTTAAGAGTCATCCCTTGATATTAATATCTGAAAATAACAAAAGTAATATTCAAGAGTAATGTGTTGATAATAATGTATAACATGTAAGGGTAATTTTCAAAAGCAATAGATAAAAATGATAGTTAACATAAATATTCAAAGTAGTAGTTAAGGATTTTACTTGAAATAATACAACATGGGCTGCCATTTTGCCTTGTATTGACATTTGCTGTCAACTGAAAATGACATCACAAGGCCTAAGGGATCAGCATGCGAACATCACGGCCACCTGTTTTCTGGTTTTGGTCAAATGACATTCAAGCTGTGCCCATGTCAAGCAGATACTAGCGTGAAGATCCTATCGCACTGAACGGTGAACTCACCTGTACTTTTCTTGTCACAAGTGACTTTTGACTTTTGAACAAACACCGAAACTGTTGGCGAACTTCTGGCGGACATTTGTGACGTTGAATGAACCCTGACCAACTCTGACATGAACGTGCATTTTGCTACCTGTCGCAATTGCTCGCCCCTCAGGGGCTTTAACGTCGATTCACAGATTATTCTGCCCACTCGTTTTTCAGCTTGACTTTCTTTCTTTAGGTCTTCGAGAGTTAAGGGTTGCTGGCCTGTCCTGGACATGCCTGTCAGCATTGGTCACCCCGACTCTTCCCTCTCTTCGACTACTGGATCTGCGTTGGTGTGAAGGCATTAAAGATACCCAATTTAAAGAGCTCCTCACCCATCATGGTCAGATTCAGCAGAAATAAACGGGCCCACAGATTTCATTCGTGTCTTTGCACTGACTTGAAGACAATTTTTTTTTCCCACCATCATAGGTTCTGAGTCATCTTACTGCAGACTAAAGAACATAGTGACACTGCACCTGTCTGGTCTGGATATCAACGAGTCCACTTTGAGACTTATTCAGCATCATATGCCACACTTGGAGAACCTGGATGTGGCTCACTGCAAGAACATTACAGATTCTTCAATAGCTTTGCTTGCAGCAGTGGGCACACGCACTCGCAACAACCTCAGTGAACTCATTCTATCAGGTATTTTATTTATATCTTGTAATGGTCCAAAGGGATTGCACTTAACTCGAAGACAGGGGTGTCCAAAGTCAGTCCTCAAGGCTGTCCTGCCTGTTTTCCAGCTCTCCCTGGAGCAACACACCTGGTTCAAATAATCAGGATTGTTCTAATGCTGCTTCAGAGCTGGCTGATGAGCTGATCACCTGAATTGGGTGTGTTGCGCCCGGGAGATTGTCATTGTTTCATATTGATTCACACAGTTTTCACACGTAATCAGCTTGGTGTGTCTGTCTTAGCTTTGATTATCTCAAAAACTGGAATAGTCCCTCTTTGCAAAATAACTGAAGCTCAGTCTAATTTAGGTCAAGTCCAATTGGATGGAGAGCATTTGTGGACACCCATTTTTGAGTCTCGCCACAGACTCTGAATGGGATTTAGGTCTAGGGATAAACTGGACCATTTTGAGACTTAAATATGCCTTAAGCTAAAACATGATTAGTATCTCTGGCTCCATTATATATTGGGCTATTGTCCTGTTGGAATGAGAACCTATGCCCCAGTCTGAAGTCAGTTAATTAGCAGGTCAAGTAATAAGTGTGTGGAGAGATAATAATACACAGCTATGTGGTACATGTCCAAAACATGGAAATGAATACCGTATTTTCCGCACTATAGGGCACACCAAAAAGTCTTCAATTTTCTTAAAAGCTCACCGAGCGCCTTAAAATCCGGTGCGTCTTTTGTATGGTCATTACGGTAATACATCGACTCCAAGATGGCTCCTTCCTGGAGACATGCCTCCAATGTTATAACTTGCTGTTGGTTTAGTGAACTGTGTCGCTGCTTTATTAAATAAGTTTTTGTTGCAGCTCCGAAAAAAGGAGCGCTGTGGTGTTGTTTTTTTAAACAGTCTCAACAAATGCAGGTACGTCTTTGTCCGTCTCCGTGCCTTCCCTTCCTCATTTTGACTCGAGAAGCGTTCAAGACCGCCTCCGAAATTTACTTACTTCAATGAAACTACGAAAATTGAAAATAATACATCAAAACTGAAAAGCAAGTGAGGATATCACAAAATAAATTCTATAGCCCCCCCCCCTTGCAGAATTTATATTGTGATTTCATAATTTGTGAATACACAACAAAGGAATAAATTACTACTAACATCTGATCGTTCTGTTGGAGCTACGATCAAGGAAATGCATATGCATTTTTTGTAGGCGGTCATGAACGCCTCTCGAGTTGAACGGAATAAGAGAAGGCACGGAGATGGACAAAGACTCACTTTTATTTGTTGAAAAAAGGAGAGCTGTGGTTTTATTTATTTTTTTTAACACAGACTTTATTAATGGTTTTCACAGTCTCAACAAATACAGGTACTGTACGTCTTTGTCCGTCTCCATGCCTTCTTCCGTTCCACTCGAGAGACGTTCATGGCTGCCTCTGAAACCATGAAGAAAATCAAGCGAGGAAATCACAAAATAAATTCTGTAGGGGGTATATAGAATTTATTTTATGATTTCTTCGCTTGATTTTCTGTTTAGATGCATTATTTTCAATTTTCGTAGTTTCATACTGTGGGGGATATAGAATTTATTTTGTGATTTCCTCGCTTGATTTTCTGTTTTGATGCATTATTTTCAATTTTCGTAGTTTCATTGAAGTAATCGTTAATTTGCGTTTTTCGGAGGCGGTAATGAATGTCTCTAGAGTCGAACAGGAGTGTAGCACCATCTAGTGGAGGCATTGTATAGTGCGCCTTATAATGCGAAGCGTCCAATGTATGAAAAACATTTACAAAATAGCCATTCATTGAAGGTGCGCCTCATAATCCAGTGTGTCTTTTAGTGCGGAAAATACGCTAAGTATGTTACTGCATGTGTCATCAAACCAATGTTTTAGAGAAGCGAAAGCAACCTGGTTATTGGGGCCAGTCTCTTTCTGTCCCGGGCCGAGATGCTGCCTGACCAGCAGACAATGCCATAATGGATGGCCGAAGCCACCACCGAGTTATAGAAAGTCTATTATATTTCATATAATAGAAGAAAAACAAACATATTTACATGAAAATGCTAAATTTAAATGAAAAGAAGTAGAGAGGGAAAAAAAAGTCTTAATTATTTTTGACTCTTAACCAGAAATATTTCCTTCCATTATAATTTTTTAAAGAGCAATTCATATCACGTTAGGTACCGTTACTGTCAAGGGATTCAATTTTATTTTAATTTTAGGCCACATTGGTCAGACCTCAATCATCATTTGAAACAAAAATATGAAAAAGTATTTACATTTGATCTTACATTTAGGTAGTATGTACATGCAAAGTAGTGTAAAAGTTGTTTTATTTAAAACTATGTAAAACGTGTTTTCCATACAATATTACACAACATTACCTGTCTACCAGTCTAAAGTGTGTGTGTGTGTGTGTGTGTGTGTGTGTGTGTGTGTGTGTGTGTGTGTGTGTGTGTGTGTGTGTGCATGCGTGCGTGCGTGTGTGCGTGCGTGCGTGCGTTTAGATTGGTAATTTTGTGTAATAATGTATGGAAAATATTTTTTATACAGTATATCCAGTGTATATATAAATACACCACACACACACACACACACACACACACACACACACACACACACAATATATAGATCGGTAATTTTGTGTAATACCGAATGGTAAACAGGCTTTTAATTTAATTTTATTTTTTTCAAATAAAACAACTTTTACACAAATTTTTCGCTTTCAGACATGTTTAGACCCTGAAAAGTAGACTTGTTTTCTTGGCGAACAGCTCGTTGCCATGGCAGTAGCCTTTCATGCAAAATCTAAAAGTTTGAGATAAATCTGATTCACCTGCTGGGAGATAATTAATATATATTTCCTTTAGCCAGTAGGTGGTGCCACCACTGCGATGAAAAATAAGTTTGTAATAATAATAATAATAATACATTTCATTTGTAAGCGCCTTTCAAGACACTCAAGGACTCTTAGAAGTCTTCAGGCCTAGACTCGCATCAAATGTGTGAAATGTTGACAAAATATGATCATGTGGGCCCGGTTACAGCAGCTTTTGTAGTCAAGGGGACGCTGAATTTTAAAGGAAATTCAAAATCGCAGGTTGAGCATAGAGCATATAGCTCCAAGCTCTAGAGCTGTTGCACAGAGCATTCGCTGCTTGGGCCCGAATCATCAGAATAATTCCTACAAAAACAATAGGGGCTAACAGCAGTCGATTCTCGGACCATAATACATAAATAAACACATTACTTCTAATTACGTGGATTATTTATTCTCGACAGGAAGAACATATTTTTCCTACATTTTAGGTAAAAATTAAAATGCCTCTGATGTGAGAACTCAGGAGATGTATGAAAATAATTTTATATACATCAATTCTATTTTACATTTTTGGGAAGTTTTAATTGTGAAACACAGTTTTTAAAATTTGTGTGCGGCCCTAAACACAGGTCAAATGCGCCCTCTCATGGCCGGTTGTTTTCAGTGTGTGACAGACGATAGCGTCTTCCTCAACATGTGTATAAATCACCTTGTCTCAATCTTACCTTTTCTGCTTGAGCGCTGCCTGGAGGCCATTAGAAAAATCGTTATATATGCCGCTTCATTAAATAAGCCACATAGTGGAAAGCATGTGACGAAAGTCGCAGTTTATAGTCCGTAAATTACAGTTGTGCATATCTTTTATCCACTACTTACTCAACAATGGCCTGGGTAATAAGCAAGAAAAGTGACCAAACAATTGAGTGACTTGTGTCTGTGTGCCAAAACAGGTTGTCATCAGTTGAGTGATGGCTGCATGTCCTACCTGAAGCGTATCTCCTCTTTGACTTTTCTGGACCTAAGAGGCTGCAAGAAAATCAGTATACAAGCCTGCAACGCCTTCATCTCTGACCTGTCACACATCGCTGTGTTCTGTATGATCGAGGATAAGGTTATCCAATATCTAAACTAAGTGGTTATTCACTTTTGGACTGAAGCCCAATGTCACAAAATTGCTGCTTGGGCAGTGTACTAATGTCTTTCACATCACGTCTATGACATCTTTTATCCAGTTTGTGTGTGTTACATTCGAGAAATCTAATCTTGCTTGGCACATCATCAAGCAAAATTTCTTTACTTCTTCCTACTCCCTTGAACATTATAACTGTGTTGAATGATGACTGATTTCTCTTTCCTTTTTATTATTTTATTTACCTTGTTTTCTGTCAAATTATTACTGTATATGTTTTATGTTCAATAAACAAACCAAACCAAAAACGTTTCTTAAAGAATGCACACTGAAATAATGATGATCTTGTCTCAAGTTCTTCCCATATTTATTTGGGTCTTATTCTGTCGATTGTATGATAACAGGTGGATGGTCGATTTCCAGTTTATTTGTACACTCTGCCATCTGGCGGAAGAGCATGTTATTACTCTGCCTGTCATTGTCACTGCCATGCATAAAAGAATAACGGTGCCTTCTTTGCATTAAACATTCTTGCCAATTCAATGAAATGAACCCACTGCACACCTGATCCTGTCCAGCACACTAAATGTGCCCACTGGTTGGGATCGCTGGTCTAGTACAGGGGTCCCCAACCGCCACCGGTCCGCGGACCGCTACCTGTCCGCCGGGCATTTGGTACCGGGCCGCACAGAAAGAACTTGCCTTATTTCCGTTTCATTTATTTCGGAATACGAAAGATGTTTTATTTTGAAAAACTACCAGCTTCTCCGTTACATCCGTCTGTGTTACGCTTGACACACGTCAAGCCACGCTTCTCCTTCACGTGACCGATTACTTCAAAACAAAACGCGGGAGCTCGCGAAATGAGTAAAAAAAAAAAAAACTGCTGGAGATCGCAAATGACGGCGGCCTTAAAAGTACGTTCGAGACAACTGGATTAAAGTTATGGCTGAATACTCTGAGATGGCCACAATAGCACTGTTGCTATTTCCGACATCCTACCTGTGTGAGGCGGGGGGTTTCTGCAGCAACGGCGACGAAAACAAAATTACGAAGTAGACTGGACATAAACCACATACTTGAGGTGTCATTGTCTCCGATTACCCCGAGATGGGACCGTCTGGTTGCAGAAAATCAAGCTCGGTGCTGTGGTGAGTCGTCATTTTAATGCACTTTGAATTTGCGTTGTATCATATTTTGAAGGCAGTAATTATACATTGCCATAGCGATCGGAGTGTTGCGGCCAGATTAGACGCTCCCTGTGTTTATTATTATATTTCGAAAACGCCACAGTTTTCATGCAGCTCATACCATATTATTTTGTTGTATTATTTCCGCTTCACCTGAAATGCCGGTCCCTGAAAATATTGTCTGACATAAACCGGTCCGTGGGGCAAAAAAGGTTGGGGGCCCCTGGTCGAGTAGACTTAAATGATTTTGAAGGGGTGATACTATTACCAAGCAGCAGTTCAGGAGCAGAGCAAGAAATAATTTACAGATGAATTGATGCATTTCAGATGACTTTGTTCAATAATGGAACCTGCCGTAGATCCCACAGTTGGGAAGATGTTTGTGTTATGAATCATTTTGTCTTGAGCTGAACAATGTTTTTTTTTTTTTTGGTCTTTCATGGTCATTGCATTGTCATTCAAAAGCATAAATATCTTCCCTATATAGTCTATATGGATTCTAACCTGCCCTTACCATTGATTACGTCCTATAATCCATCTATTTTTCACGAAAGAAAATTTTGTCTCATTCAGAAGTGTCTTCATATTTTTAACATTTAATAAATTGGAACAGAGGCATTCAGTGGAAATAAAAATTGTGGTTGTACAAGAAAGCACACTTCCACAATTGGCTTATTCTTATTACACCAATCTTTTCACCCTTATTTTACTAATCTTGATCTCATCTATGACTATTGTTTTATCTGTTCTGTATTTTGAATTGTATCCTTTTTTTTTTGTATTTTGCCCTTGATATTTGTTTCTTTATAAATGAAATTGCCTTTTTTTTTTTTTAAACCATGGCTGTAATGCTTTAAAAAAAGCCGTCACCTTACCGCGGTGGAGGGGTTTGTGTGTCCCAATGATCCTAGGAGCTAAGTTGTCCGGGGCTTTATACCCCTGGCAGGGTCACCCATGGCAAACAGGTTCTAGGTGAGGGACCAGACAAATCACGGCTCAAAGACCCCTTATGATGAGTACAATTAATGGGTCTCAGTTTCCCTTGCCCGGACGCGGGTCACCGGGGCCCCCCTCTGGAGCCAGGCCTGGAGGCGGGGCTCGTTGGCGAGCGCCTGGTGGCCGGGCCTACACTCATGGGGCCCGGCCAGGCTCAGCCCGAAGAGGCAACGTCGGTCCCCCTTCTCACGGGCTCACCACCCATGGGAGGGGCCAAAGGGGTCGGGTGCAATGTGAGCTGGGCAGCAGCCAAAGGCGGGGACCCTGGCGGTCTGATCCTCGGCTGCAGAAGCTAGCTCTAGGGACGTGGAATGTCACCTCTCTTGCAGGGAAGGAGCCCGAGCTGGTGTGCGAGGTAGAGAAGTTCCGACTGGATATAGTCGGACTTGCCTCAACACATAGCCTGGGTTCTGGTACCAGTTCTCTCGAGAGGGGTTGGACTCTCTTCCACTCTGGAGTTGCTCACGGTGAGAGGCGCAGAGCAGGTGTGGGCATACTTATTGCCCCCCGGCTCAGTGCCTGTACATTGGGGTTCACACCGGTAGACGAGAGGGTTGCCTCCCTCCGCCTTCG